AGGTTAGCAGTTGGACATAATTGATTCTGCACTAGCCCTACAGGTCGATGCAGCTGGCAGTTTCTTCTTCCCTGTCCTGTACTCGCTGCTTTCAGACAACTTCATCTAGGAGTAAGAATGGATCCTTTTGAGCTTTTTGCTGTTCATGGAAAATTCCGCAAATATCATTCAACAGCCTACGTTCACTACTGTTGTCTCTTGATCTCGACATGTGATAAGCTCGAGTACGTTAGAACTACAGCCAAAAAATAGCTTTGATCGCTTGCTGTATTTCACTGCGTCGTTCTCCAATTGTGCATTTAGCAGTTTTCCAAGTTGCTTCGACCAATGCTGCATCATCTGTTGGTCAGGCTATTAGTGATCCTAACACTTGTCAACTACTTAAAAAAAATATTCATTCAAGCGCTCTGTCTCATTTTTGAACAATTTCCAAACTGTTTCAAGTTGCAGTCATCTATCTTACTCAACCGATGAAGGAAAAGCTGCATTTGAAGAAATCTTCAAGCTGCCTAAAGAAGTAAAAGGCTCTTTAAAGGTTCTTTTATGGAACGGCAAAACAATGTTTTCTTTTGTAGATTAATCAAACAAAAACAATACACTGGAGCATCTCAGTGATTCCGGTAGATTTTTTAGACAAAATTAAAGGCTGCGATGATAATAAGTCCTGGAGGATTTCCCTCGACGGCGATCTGGACGGGAATGATCGTACGTGTGCGCCAATTGCTGCCAAACAACACTTTCCTAAGTCTACTGTACTGTGCTAATCAAGAACGCGAAAAAAAATGGATTAAAAGGTATGCTATTCATGCAGATGTCCACTACACAATTAGCAGTGGTTTGCATCTGATGCTATCGCATCCAGACCTGTGTTTCTGAGACTGATCACTGCAATTCGATATATCTGGAAGTGCTTTTCGCATCCACACCAGCTATCTTACAGCAAAGCATGAAAAGTTTTTTGCAAAGATGCAAAAACAATGCAAAGTTTTGTACGGAATGACTATCTTTTATAAGTAATTTTTTCTTATCAAAAATAAATTTTGCAGTGATCTCAGTGAAATTGGTGTGATTCTGATCGGTGGAGATGCAGTATGTCTTGCAGTCTGTCAAGAAAAAGGAAAAGCTGTTGAAAAGGATTATGAGATGCACAAAGTAATCGCTCTTTCTTATCTAATATCAGGTTACTGACGACGATTGTACGAAGATCGCATTAGGCGCCCACCTACGACTCGTGCCAAAAGCCTAGAATTATAAAAGCTCGGAAGAACTACAAAATATGCCGTGTCGGTGGTTGGCATGTTTCATGCACATAAGATCGCGGAATCGCATGAGTTTACCGAGAAAACGGGAAAATTGCTGATCGTGCCAGCAAGACGTTTTTTGCTAGGTTGAGTATTTTAATTTCTTTCATATTTGGTTTCGAAGGTATATCGGAAAGCGGCCTTTTAGTATACCGTGAAAGGGGCTTTGCATTTCTGTTTCTGAGGTGAATTGTACAGGATAAGCCGCACAAAATCCAAAATTCGATACTGGTCCTTGCGCTACCTTTTTGTATCCAGTTACTGGCACTCTTTAAAAAATTTTGCGTTTTTCGCTCCATAATCCTGCACCGTGAAAAACAGAAACGTAAATACGTCACAAGGCATTCAGTATTTGCATGGAACGTTTGCCAATTTGTTTTTACACTAGATGCAATGTTTGTCAGAAAGGTATGTAGCGTGGTTGAAAGACAGAAGAGTC